CCCCAAAACCCCAAAACCCCAAAACCCCGGAGTTGGGATTAGAGATGGAATTTTGTCAAAAACGGCTTACAATTATTAAAAATAAATAAAAATGGGTTGTGGACTTACTCAGAGCGGAATCCCTCCTTTACAGATCAGATTCAAACTTCAAAGGAAGTTTAAGCCTGTGCCTGAGGAGGTCAAGCAAATACAGAGGGACCAGGATAGAGTCCCTGATTACAAGAGTCTTGAGCAGTGGCTTAAAAAGTATCAGCTGTTCACTTCCCCCTCAAAGGTTGGTATTAGCCCCCAGTTTTAGAAATGTAACTTAGGATATGTTTTAAATTTACTTTTTAGGCTCTTACTGAGGAGGAATGGGAACAAGATTTCTCAGGAGAATGCCAACAAGACCGCCGGCTGATGAAACTTCAGTGAAGCAATAGACTCCCGGTGATAAAGGCATTACAGATTAGACATGCAAATCTTATAGATAGTGATGTGCTTTGGGAATTTTTGACTCAGGCTGTCCCAGATAAGTTGCAGACTTTTGTATTTAATTTTGAAGGAAACCCTAAGGAGATTATCCAAAATCTAAAGCTTGTGCTCTCTAATACCACAAATAATGTCTATTTCAGCAGGATGACTCTGACTAAGGCTCAATTTGTGTTCTTGTTTGAGAGCTGAATTCATGTCAACAGTCTTACATTCAAGGAATGAACTTTTAAAGACTTTGACGAATCTTTGGCAATTGACCTAACTTTGAAAGCTACTCTACAGCAGGTAACTTTTCTGAAATGATTCAGGACAAATTCTCTCGCTCTGAAATGGGTTATTTCAGCTATCAGCATGACAGTGCTGCAGACATCCAAGTTCAAAATTATCCTAGATGAAGAAGATATCCTTTCTGATGAAAAGAAGGCTGAGCTTAACGAATGTCACAAGAAACAGAAGTATCTGTGGGCTTCTGATGTATTCATGCAGTATTTCTTAGACACAGGGTTCATGCAAACCGATAATTTTGAAAAGTAACCTTTGCTTTAATGTTTAGCTCTTGCTTGTTCAGAGGAGGATGGGATTGGGCCAACAACTGCAAGCATGGCTTCTCACATAAAAAGGAGAAGTATCTTGACGAATTTGCGATTTATGACCAAGGGAAGTTCTATGGGTACCAATTCACTGAATCACACCGTTTCAATTATGACTGCTATTCTCAGATTTATGGAATGGAAGGAAAATATCATGGTCTAGTCAAGAATGAAAATGACATCTTTTTATATGAGAATGGGATAAAAATTAAGAAGTTCAGTAATGATGAGGCTAAAAAGGTACAAAAGGGAGACGACTTCTGGCTACAATTACTCAAACCTGACAGTCAGATCTCACTTCTGTGATACCCCCAGCTTGTGAATAAGGTCCATCCTATTCAAGCTCAGGCTCTTCAGGCTGAGAATAACATGAGGCTTGAAATCTGTGCTCACTTTGGGCGCAAGGGAGCTATATTGGGTGTATTTGATCCAGAAATGGTATCTAAAAAGGGAAAGATGTATCTGTTCAAAAAGTAAGTTAGGATTATTGCTCTTTTGATTACTTAACCTCTCATAGGTACAAGAAAGAAGACTGAGATACTTATAAAATCGAAACACCAGCAGGTTCAGAGACTTCTTTCTTACTTTCTTCGACAAAGTTTACTAAGGAAGATGTGAAAGAGGGAAAGGACATGGTCAGAGCACTGCTAGATGAGTACGAGATGACTTCGACAATTCTGAAAGTTACTTCAGCTGAGATGGAGATAAATAAAAGAATTATTAAAGAAGATCAAGGGATCTTGCTTTATAATCTTTGGTGTACTGTGTAGAACTAATTTGAAAAATAAGAACTTTAATTCAATTTTTAAAATATCTTGGGGTTTTGGGGTTTTGGGGTTTTGGGG